TTACACCCACGTGGGCACCCCGGAGGGACGCGTGTGTAACCGGGGTGACGAAGCCCTCGCGAACCAGCACTGCGGGAGAAAAACGCGATCGTGCCGCACATGCACCTTGCGCGACGCGATTATTTTCAATAAAAGGAACACTTAGTTCGCGGCGAAAATAGCACAGCAACAGCACAGCCAAAGCAGACTCGTTTACAGCTTTTCCTGCTGATTGGCCTCGCTAGCTTTGCGGGAGAATTACACAATTTATTCCCGCTAACGAATCTTATTTCTTCTGCGATGTGCTCTCACGATTAGAAGCATCCTGCCGTGTTTGCTGTGACGAGCTTATTTTACTTTGCTAGTGCGATAAATCTTGATACTTGTTCTTTGCAATTATTTATCGCCAGCGTTGAGATCTTCAATCTTTCGACGCGCGAGTGTTTACTCAACGGCGGGAATTAAAATCGCGACACGGTGTTTTCGTGAAGAACGCGCAATTTGCGCGCTTCAATTTTATTATTCCCGAGGATTTATCGCCGAGCGCGTTGTCGCGTATCTTAATGGCTAACTTTAAGCTCGCCACGGTGGCTTACGAGGGGAAGAGGACAACAGATTTGTCCGGCGTGTCATACCCCTCCGAAGTCGCGCGTCGAAATCCTTTTGCACGGGCAGATATTCGAGCGGTATCTCGGCGTATCGGGATGCGGAGTAAATCGTAATTATATACGGGGAGTAGTACAGGATCGGCGGACCCTCCTCTCGCGGCGAGAGTCCGTGGAAAAAGATCACGCGGACGTTTAATAACACGGGTACCGAATGCTGATGGGTAGAGGTATCGCCGGGATATAAAACGTGTACGTCTTCCAGACCAGTCTCGCGGTACCAACGCATACGCGTAATTACACACGCGCCGCGCGTATACGTTCACGCAAGTGCAGTGTTTCATCCTGCGCTTATACATTTTACGAATCAGTCGATCCGAGTATGTGTGTATACGCGCACCTTTGGCGCGGACGTGCGCGCCGGAGCTGGTGAGCGTGCAAATGTATACATACACAAGGTGTCTGACCGGGCAAGGCTTTTCGGGCACCGCAAAACAAACTGGGTGGGTGATGAGGATAGGTATCGATGGTCGAGGGCGCAAACGGCTCTCGGAATTATTCGGCGTCCCCGAAGGGCCTGCGCGACGATCCGACGATTTCGTCTCAATTCTCGATCAAAGCGAAACCGTGCGCACTATAGACTTGTAGATTAGACCGCATACTCTTACGGGATGGCTGATGACAAGATTGAAGGACAAGGATACGCCAAGTCAAATGCTTTCTCTATCACACAGTACTATAAGAGAGCGCAATGTAGAGGAAACAGAAAAGTGCTACTTCGTTCTTCCCTTCAACTAGACAATTGGGAAGAGTACACTCCTTGAAACAAAGTAAAACAAAAAGGCAGAAGCTAATCAGAACTCGTGCTAATAGTCAAGTGATAATTGACAATTTCTACTTTTCTACTAGCGCGAATTCTAATTGACTCCTGCCTTTCTGTTATTCTGTCAAAGTACGAATTCTCTCTTATGAACAAGGAAAGCATCTTACTTTCTAGTGTTCCTCCTTTCTAATACTGACTTCATCCCTCCTGCAACAATGCTCAGTCTATTCTATTCTATACATGTCTATGACGCACACTTCTGACTGCTCAAGAGTTCACGACGTTATCCGTGTGCGATGTCACAGTGTATGTCAGCACTACACATTGTCGCGTGCATCGATGCGAAAGGGGAAACCGGGGAAAAGGACGAGCGAGTTGGTATCGAGCGGTATAAATAGCGATCCATAAATTATGCCATCCACGTACGCGACCGAGTACCATCTTTAAGGCACCGGTAGAACGGTCGATGTCACCCGATGTCACCGACGACATCGAGGACATGGGTGTCGTCGACGACTAACGCGTGACGACGACGACAACGACGACGACGACGACGACGACGACGACGACGACGATACAGACGTCATAGAATATCGTGGAAATGGAGCGTCCCATGACTACTCTTTAGTCTTTCTCCCAGATCAATCCATAGACCTGACGATGTTTCTTCTCCGTTCGGTTTCCCTCTTCTCTGTCTGATTTCTCCTGTTGCATCGTAGGAAAAACTCGATCGCGAGCTATGGGAGACTCGCGTCGCGGTAGATCCGCGGGATTTGTCGAAACGCATCTAGGAAGGATATATCCGTTAGGGTCCGAGTAGTTGTAATTCCTGTTTTGGCTGAGACTGCGTGCGATCGATCGATCGATCGATCGATCCGAGCAATTATCGGTACGCGTGCTGTGCGTGCTTTACCTTGCCGCGCGTACGTCGGGATTGTCTGTAATTGGACGTGGCCGCGCGCGACGTGTTTTCACAGCGACGTCGGATAACGCGGAAGGTACACTGCGTCCTAATGAATCGCCGCTCAATTGGATCCCAGGCATCATTAATAAAACTAATAATCATCGTTTACGAGAGTACACTGAAAGACACTTTTGCGCATCGATTCGATTGAGATCCTTTTCATGTCCGGAGGACGTGCGTGTGTGTTAATGATTTGTCTCTAACTCGGTATCGACAGACTAATGACCTGGACCTCTCTTTCTTTCTCTCTCTTTTTCGCTGCCCAAAATAAGCTGTCAAATTAGACATCATCATCCAGCGGGCCGCGGACGAGGGATAAGCTGCGGCGCGTTGAGTCGAATGTTGCGCCCAACGAGATTCGTTGGATTTTTCCCGCGACGCGCCGGGATAGATGCGATTATTCCACAGTTTTGTTTTCCGCGACGTAGAGAATCCTTACGGTGTCTGGCGTGTCAGACGTGGGCGGACGACCAACGGCACTCGTTATGCGAAAAACATGCGCCAGGCTGGCGCTCGGAATCGTTCATCACGGAATTGCATCTGCCAGCGGTAATGACCGGCCAATTTGGCTATTAATTGATTCCGAAGCAGCGGGACCGGGCGGTCCCGGTCGACTCGTGCGAGGAGGTCGAGCGAGGTCGATGTCGTGGAATCGATAAACCGCCATCATTCATTCGTCGATTCCCGCTCGTGTGTACGCGTGCCTGTGTCCGCTGGTTTCTTCGCTACCCGGTGAACGAAACTCGTATTATCGTCTCGGGTACGACGGACAACACGCGCGCATACACACGTACACACACACAGCCATACACAGTGTGGCCTGGTGTCCATGCAGCACACAGTCATAGTACTCGACGAAGATCTTCCGTAAGATCGTGCCGCCGATCGGACACGATTCTTCGAGGAGCGCAACGCTGGCCGATCGCGACCGTGACGAATGAGATCTCAGCGACGCGCGACAGCTCTCGCCTGGAAGATCTGCTTAGCGCAACCTCTCGACTAGGTCGCTTTTACGGCGGGGCCTGATGCCGCCGGAATCTTAACGCGGAATAAATTCGCGGGCGTGCTCGTAGCCGAGCTAGCTGACAGGGACGTCGCTTAACTTCGTCTCTAAAGGAGAATTTACACCTTGGCAAAAAGGCAGAAGTCAATCAGAGCTCGTGCTTCCGGTAGTTAGATGGTAGTCAACAGTTTCTGCTTTTCAAGTACGAGTTCTGATTGGCTTCTACTTTTGTGTTTTTTGCCTTTTTGCCAAAGTGTGAATTTTCCTTAAGATTGGTTTAGAAACTTCGCACCATTCGGAAACATTCGGAAACATTTACACCTAAGTGACAACAGTGTCGTTCGGAAGGTCTGTTCGGGATGCACTCCGAGTGAAAGAATCTTCACCCTAAAAGTTTAGAATGATTCGGGTAACTTGATGTGTTTCTAAATAGTGTTTTCGATTTGTTAATTTGATCCTGTTATTTCCTAACTTCATAGGAGTCTCGATTACCAACTCTCATCCAAGCTCCAACAACATTTGCCTCCTCGATCGTTCCGTCTGCTTCGTCATCGCTACTGCTTGTATGTAAGCTATTCAAGGCTGCTTCCATTAATTCTAATCTAGCAGCCGCGGCACAAACTACGATAACACTTTTATTTGCCATTAGGTTTATTTTCTATTGCTGAAACTGACTTGCGCTAATTCTCTTCTCCTCCTTTTTCTGCCAAGTCTTACTACACTACACGCTTCTTTTCAAGTTCCATGAGTGTACACTAATTCAGCGATAAAACACAGTCCTATTGCTTACCATTTTTTCTGTCTGCCGTTCGGAAATCGTTCGCACCCGAGTTGCACTCCGCCCCCACCACCCTTCACCCGGCTCTACCCGCAGGGTGGAATTTCCAAACGCAGCCTAATTAGGCGGGTCGAGGCAACATGAAGCTGGCGACTGTTATGTCGATGGCGAGGGGTCAGGTGGCCTCAGATAATTCCCCTGAGTCGACAGTTCCACTGAAATATGTATCTCGTTTGTTTGCTGAGAGCTCTTTGATGTCGCGCCGCGTTTCGGGATACTTTTCCTCGTCGATCGTCCCGCAAGCAAGTTCGCACGGGAGGATATGATATCGTCGGATCGTGGTAGAAGCAAATCCGAGCCGACATCTTCATTAGGACTTTATAAAAAATCAAGACTGACGAGAGACACAAGTCGCGTGCAGTGTGCGACGTCAAGGGGCTATCGATCTTCCTGGTTTAGCCGCGAACACGGCGTAAACATCGTGATTTAATAGCAACTCACGTCGATCAAGCCGGTATGAATGTGCCTGGTGAGACGGAGGCCATTACGAAAACTAAGTTGCGATAATGCGGCACCTCATGCAAATGCAAGCGGATACAGAATTACTTTTTGACGCCTGATTACTCGACGTCAAAATTTATCGAGATTATTCCGAACAACTGCTTTAATTAACCCGCATTGAACCGAGGCGCATGCGCGGGACGAAACTTATTATGAATAAATTAATACAACGCGCGCGCGTTTCTCTCTTGCCGTTCGAAAGTTCGGTTACTTTTCCATCTTATTCTCGTCTGATGTATGTGGTGTATCTGTATGCATTATTTAAATTATGTATTTTGCATTTCCAGGCGATCGACCGAGCAGGTTTTATCTGGTGAGAGAGGAAGCAGATCTCTCGTTGGATCCCAACACCGGAATACTGAGGATTCGACAGCCGCTCGATCGGGAATCACGTGACAAATACGTTCTCAGCATCAAGGCGCGTAATGGTGGCTACGTTGGCTATTGCCAGGTAAATTGCATATCCTTCAGATAATCATCATCTCGGTATTAACTCACTGTAATCATAGACATTTATCCCGCGTGTACATATAATATTCCGAGCGTGCGAAAGCTTTTCGATGCCATTTTTATAGACGCGCGCTTGTAAATGTTATCGTGTTGATATTCAGCGCAACACGCGTTCATTAACAGATTAATATCGTCTTTCGATAAAAGCGACCACCTTGCCGTTGCTGGTTCTCCGGTAACGAGTTGCCGCTAGTCCGTGCTCTCGCGTGTCCGTCACTCGTTGCTTCATCATGAAATCACTCTTATCCGTTCTCATATGCGTGGTTCAACTAGAGTGACCAACTCTTAATCAGCGAATTCCAAGATACCGACCTTAAAAAATCGGAATACAAATAAAAAGATTGAAATTGTTTTATTGGTATATGTGATTACAAGATACCTTGTAATATGTATGTACATGTCCCTTGCTGGTTATTATACACATATAGACGTACTTTGATGTATTAATTTTTAAAATAGATAGGTTAAGTAAATTAAATTCCTCTACGTAAGTAAATAAAATGTTTAATCAATAGAACATAAAAGCAAGGAAAAATCAATATAAAATACAATTTTCTCTCATCACATAAATAATACGTGATAACAAGATTTTATATTACTGTTTTTACGTTATGTAATAAATATATCGGGACAAATGGCGTCCCGCCTGGAATTCTTTCGGGATTCCTCTATAGAGAGTCGAAAATCGGGATGTCTCGCAAAATTTAGGTTTGGCTATCTTAGACACGACGTAACACCGGCTCTTTCCGTTTCAGTTGGAGCTGATCGTGGAAGATGTGAACGACAATACACCGGCATTTGGCACGACCACCGTCCGCATCTCCGTGCCGGAATCGCATCCTCTCCACGTGCCCTTGTACATAGCGCACGCTACCGATCCGGACATCACGCCACCGTCGCCGATACGCTACGTTCTCGCTCAAAACAGCAACGATCTTTTCGGGATAGACGCGCGCTCCGGCGAGCTCTATTTGGCGAGGCGATTGGATTACGAGACCCAGCAGAGGCATGGCCTGCTGATAAGGGCTCTGGACGGCGCTGGGCTCTCGGCCAACCTCAGCCTGAGCGTCGAGGTGCAGGACGTGAATGACAACCCCCCAAGGTTCGAGAGGAACGAGTATTACATGGAGGTTCTCGAAGGCGCCAGGCTCGATTCCCAGGTGAGAAAAATCTTCATTACACGCCCGTCACGCGGGCATTTGTTTGTCGAGGTGATGCGGTAGGGTTCTTCGAAAGAGAGCGGGAAGGAGGAAGAGAGTTCAGCCGGCGCACTCCTCTCGTCCGGGCGCGTTCGTTAGAGCGAGCAAGAGAGTGAGAGAAATTCTGGGTCGTAGGGGAGAGGCGCGGTAGAAGTTAACAACCTCACTTCGGCCTTTCTTTCGCTCTTGATCGGTATTTCTTCGTGCCGATGGTTCCCTTTTTCCTCGACTGGCTGTTTCGTTTTGCTCAGCGCGCGCGGGAAAGAGAGAGAAAGAGAGTGAGTGAATGAGAAAGAGAGAGAGAGAGATAGTCTTACCGTCTCTGGGATGCGTAATTTTATCCGGGACAACCAGGAAGAACGCGCCCGTGAACCTTTGCTCCCTCTCGCATCGCGAGGCGTACGCCGGTGCTACCAAGACACCCTCCCCCTTCCGGGTAGCTTTGCAAAGGAGAAGAGGAACACGAAGCAGAAGAAGAAGACGAAGAAGAAGATGTTGACTCGCGAAGTTCACCTTGCGAGGCAAAGAGAGAATTAACCGCGCGGCCGACTAGGAACGAATTAACTGAACGTAGCATCGCGCCGCGCGAGATTAGCCGATGTGCTCCACGAGGTTACCCGACGTACCAGTTCGAGCGGGAGATGGATAGGGAATGCCTGATAATCTGATATCCGGACGTGCCGCATGTTGCCGCTGATACCGATTGCGAGCGGCCACGAGGTCCGGGCGTCTAGGATTGATAGGTAACAGTCGATATAGCCGCGAGTGCGCGCGGTACACGCACGGTTCATCATTTCACGAGCAGGTACCAGCGGTTACCCGAACGCGCGATGGGTAATTCATCAGGCGTCGCGTACGGTTATACCGAAAACGAGCGAGCCTCGATTTGAGAAATTCGAATTCGCCGGCGGAATCGCGCGGCCCGACCAACCTGGTGTTAGCTGAATTGACCGCGCCGTGTCTCACATCTCGCCGAGGGGAGAGAAATCTCCCCGAGAGAATTCGAAAACGATACTCGTGGGCCGCGCGAGCGCGGATTGGCCCGCGAAGATCGCCAACGGCGACGCACGCCCTCTGTAATTATCTACACATATCAGTCATTATCCGGCAAAAAATCGAAAGAAGGGCAAGGATGGGTTGGCGGTCTCGGTATCTCGCGACGGCGGTGTTGAGGTGGAGTGGGAGAAAGAGAGTCATTAGCCGCGAAACTCCCGGGAACAGGGTCGTCATTGGTGCGCGGCTGATAGCTTCGACGCTTCCTCGTGGTGGTAGCCATGAGCGGACGTAATCCCGAATACGAGGATACCGATGACGAATGGCGGTGAGATCCTCGCCGCGAGATAGGTCCGTTAAATGACGTCACATTTTTAATACAACGTACACGCGGATACGATAGAGCGGAGGAGACGTCGCGGCAACTCGCGTCTCTCTCTCTCTCTTTCTCTCTGTTACTCTCTTATTCATTCTCTCTCTTTCTGCCTTTCTGTCAGTCCGTCTGTGTCTTTTTCTCTTCCTTCTCCACCTTCTCCCGTCGCTACTCGATCTTACGTTCCATCTTCCTTCTGGTATACACGTATATATCGGTGGTATCTATCGGCGAAACAGATCTGTGAGCTGTCGGTGGTATCCGGACAATATCTCAGCCGCTAGTATACGTTAGAGCGAGCAAGATGGAGAGGTAGATCCAACGAGAGTACGAGAAAGAGTGCTGCCGCGGCCGGGAGAGGAGTGACCGGCAAGAGAGTAACCTGGATGCAAAGAGAGAGAGAGAGAGAGAGAGAGAGAGAGAGAGAGAGAGAAAGAAAGAGAAAAAGAGAGAGTGAGCGTAACCCTTCACCCGCCGTGAACTAATAACGTACAGTTAGACACATTACTGCCTGCTCCCACGTCAGGTTCCTCTCTAATGGTAACTCGTGTCCATCCCCCTGGTCCTCCTCATCACCTAAGACAGGCCGGTCGCGGCGTCTCTCTGCTTCTTCCCCTCCTCACATTCCGTCCTCTTCCTTCGCCTTACCTTCTACCACCATCCATCATTCGTGAGCCGCGAGTTCATGCACGGGACGCGACCTTATACACTCTCGGTCCCGCGTTTCTCTTCATCTTTTTCTTCCACTTCGACCTTCGTAATTCACCATCCTCCCGCGCTGGAAAACATCGACTGGCCCGAACGTGTTTAGGGTTTGCAGTCCTTGGGTACGTTTAATTAATACGGAACGACCGGATCGACTGGTCTTGTCTCTTATCCTCTCTTTTTGTCCCGTTCTTGCTCTCTCTCTCTCTCTCTGTTTCTCTCTTTTTATCTTCCTTTCTCTCTCTTGCGAGATCGCGAGAAATGTCTTCGAATGACACAATTGCTCTTATTTCGATTTTCATAATGTTTCTCTCCGTTTCGAACTCTACATTCCATTGCTCTCACTGCTTTGAACTTGCCAAACGTAGTTGAATCGAATGTTTCAATTTGTACTCTTTAGCAAAATTAGATATAAACCGCTCTCTGATAGAAGCAGATTGTTAATCGTCGATAGTTTTAATGTTAAATGTACGTGGCAATTATCTAAACTCTTAATGGTTTACAGATTCTTCAGGTGACAGCGGTCGATCTGGACACGGGGAATAACGCGAGAGTGAGCTATCGCCTTCAGGGCTCGCCCGCCTTTCGCATCAACCCCAACACCGGCTGGATCGGCCTGGTGCAGAACTTAGATCGCGAAACAGTCGATCGGCTCACCTTGACGGTGTTCGCGTCCGACAACGGATATCCTGCGGCGACCGCGAACGCCTCCGTGCTGGTGAAGGTCTTGGACGATAACGACAACGATCCACGTTTTGAGAAGGACTTTTATGGATTCAAGCTGCTGGAGAATCTCGCGCCGGGTACTCTGGTGGGCTCCGTGAGCGCCACCGACCCCGATCTCGGCAAGAACTCGCTCCTCAGGTACTCGGTGGTTCAGGCCAACAGCAGCTTCGCCGTGGATCCCGACACAGGTAAGGGAGTATTCGCATCTTATTTCCCTATTTTTCGTGCCACCTCCGTTTGCTCCCACCGTCATCAGAGCGCCAACGAGTATACGAGTTCTCGTCGAAACGACGCCCGAGTGTTTGCGAAAGTCGGCCCGGGACCGCGCGACCATTGAGGACCCAAAGAGAGAAAGAGAGAAGGAGATGCCCACACATGCAATTTGAACGCGGAGAAAAATATTGGCGAATCGTTTCCTCAAGTTCACTGAGTTTCGTCCGCGGCGGGTTCTCGAGTTGCTTGCGGAGGTGCAATTCGAGATTTCGTCGAACAAGCACGGCGAGAATCGCATTATTCTCTTTCTCCCTCTCCAGCCCGGTCGCTCTTTCTTCGTCAGGTCAAATTCACACCGGAGTTACGATTGTGTTACCCGACAACTCGTGAATAAGAGACGTACAAGGAGGAACATCCTTACTCGGTTAGAGGTGGTTCCAGCCGGCACTTTACGGGACCACAGTGACAGTGATCGATTCGCGGCGATTAACATTTCGGTCGTATACGCGCGGAATTTCTCCCCTGGTACTGCGATCGCCTCTCGCGATGCTATCCTTGGTCGGGATGGTGAGCGCGGGAATGCGCGCGTCTCGCGCGAAACGGAAGCGATATCAGCGCGATTATACGTCGCGGTCGCTCGTCGATGATTCCATTCTTGTTGAAATCTCATCGGACCGTGATCTCCTTCGCGCCGTCTATCTCCCACCTCGACTTGTATTTCCTCCCACCTTGGCGGCGGAACGCCATCACGAACGTAATTGTACTCGCGTCTCACGCCGCGGTCTCTTTTATTTCTGACAGATATTCAATCTCGTATATCAGCCTAACGCTTAGTCGATCTGCCCGTTGTGTTCTCTTTTCGTTCTCACTTCGCGCTAACTTCTATGCTCTACTCTCGCGTCCTCGCTCGCAGCCAGTTGCGGCGCGGCCGGCACACTTACTTCCTGTTTAAGACAGGTTCTCTCTCTCGGCCCGCCAAATAAAAATCGAACGCGCCTGCGCTAGCTTCTTATTAATTCTCCGGGTGTGAATCGCCGACGTGATATTCCACACTCCCTTTAACTTGTCCCTTCGAGTTCCTCTCCGAGTAGATGATGCCGCGCCGCGGAGCAAACGTTACGAGATCACATAAGAAAGGTTCGATTTAGAGAAGCGAGAAGCAGAAAGAGGAGTCGAACGGGAAAAAAGAGAGAGAGAGAGACTATTAATTTTCTAAATGGCTGCCCGGCCGTCAGCACGTGTAATTTACGCGTTGCTCTTGCGTCAACCCAACGGCCCTTTAAGCCGCGCCATTGTTGAACGCGTTTCGTAACGCCGATGGAGGAGCTTCTCACACTCGCACAACATCCCGTGTATCCTGCGCGCGGCCTGTTTCGAAAGTCTTGGGAGAAAATATCGTAGTCCCTTTCGATTATTTCGAGCATCAACCGAGTCTCACAGCAGCAGTCGAGTTTCAGAAGCGCGACGCGCTACTCCAATAGGGCGATTCGCTTAATTAACTCACTGGGTAATGAGGACCACCGGCCCCAGGAGTGTTCTCTTGGAGATCTCCCGATAGCTCATTTCGTACTTGCAGCAGTGTGTACGCACACGGTGGGTATTAAAATATAATCCGGTAAGAGTGGTGCTTTCGCTTCGTCGGCGTGTAACGAATCATCAGGAACGGGCCCGGGGCTCGTCACACGCCGCGAAACGCACACGTATGCCTTCGCGTATGCAATGTGCGCGGTTTGATTGGCATGCGACACGGGAGTATTTGTGTACACGCCGGTTCGTGGGCCAGGGCCTCTATCTCTTTCTCTCTTTCTCTCCCCCCCTCTACCTCTCTCCCTCCCTCTTTCTCTCTTCGGTTCGTATCCGGCGGGCTGCCTGTTTGCAGAGGTGGGACTTCTCGAGTCATCCCGACGCGCCGGGATGGAGGCAAGGCAAAATGAAAAAAGGAAAAGAAAAATGAAAAAAGACGAGGGATAACGACGACGGGTGGGGGCGATCGCGCTGCCGGAAGTATCAGCTGTCTTGTCGTACGAGTACTTCTATATTAATCCCGCAGCACAGTGCGACTGCACATTGTCCGGTCAACGGACCGGCGGGAGTGAGTTGAAATTTCGCTCGGCCATTGTCCTTCGATCGGCTCTAACCGCGATCTCCCATTGAGAAAACCCTCGAGCGGTCCTCTCCGCTCTTTCCGCCGCGTAGGTTGCCCGTTGCTCGCTTAATGGCGCCCTTTTCTCCATTCATCCAATTAAGGGGGGTCTCGCGTGCGGTTTACAAAGTTGCGCGCGCGCGAGAGAGAGAGAGAGGGGGGGGGGAGAGAGAGAGATCGCTCCGCCGTGATTTATGGAAGCGCACCTTTGTCCGATGAAACGCGATGAAAAGTACAGGAACGTTCGATTGTCAGCCGGGCCCCCGGGATCAGGGCCGCGCCCGATACTATACCGGATGCGATTACGGCAAGCTAAACGCGCCGAAGTGAGCGACGCCTCGACAAAGACGTCCGCGCCCGGCTGTTGTTCCACGGAGAATGTCAAAGTCGCATTCCCGCCACTTCTTCTTCCTCGCCTTCCTGTCGCGCGGCGCGACGTGGCGCCTTCGCCCACGGCCCACGTTCGTGCATGGAATCCGCGCGCGCCTCATACATTTCAATTCGTTACGATATGCGCGCGCGATATGGTCGATTATCGCGACCCGGGGAATTCCCGTGACCCACCGTCCGCTGTTGCGCGCTCACCTATCGATCGGATAGACCGTTGGCGCGTGCACGTGCTATCTGCAGCCACGTGGCTCTCCTCGTCTACGGTGAGCGCGGGTGCGACTATTTCAGGCACGCGGTAGCGCGCTTCCATCGAGAGAGATACCTGCTCTCCGCTTTGGATATCGATCAGGAGTTCTATTCTAGACGCATACCGGTATATCGAATATATCTTTCTTATCAAATATATTCTTTCTGATTCTCAAATTGAAATTACGCTATGCGTGAGGTTCATAGGTAAGAAAAACGAAAGGAGTGGAGTTAGAAAGGCGTGTTTAACTCTCCGTAGGTCATTTTTGGGAACAATTGAAATTATGTAATTATCTGTTACGGATTTTATTTAAAAAACAGATATGAACAATGGGAATTAAAGAATATTCGAACTAGAAATTATAGAGACCTGAAATAATGAGAAAAATTGTTGCATCAATTTTTTTGTTTATACGTGGGGAGAAAAATGGTATTGTCCACAAAGTAAATCGAAACGTTAGCGAGAAACAAGAGAGCAGACGAAGGATTAACATTCGCTATGCATTCAGAATAGGGTTTATATATCTTTTCCCTTAATACGAACTTGTAAAAAACGAAAAGTTTCATTGAATTTGTCAGTGAAACTTTTCATCTTGAACTTTTCACTTTTAAATTCGCCAAAGAAACTTTCCACTTGTCACGAATTCACACGTAGAGAAGAAGGTACATGACGATCGACACCTACTGATCCAAGAGGACTCAAGGATCTCACATCTCTCGCACGTAACGTCTCGTCCCACGTGTATCCGGAATACTTCGCCGCGACAGATGACGATTAGAGTTAATTTGTATTCTAATCAAGCACATGTTGCAAAAACACCGGCCGGAGATGCCGCATTATTCAGCTACATATTTTCCAGCAGCGAAACACGCTAAGTGACGTTTCCCACAGTTTTCCTATGGGTCGATAATTTGGTACGTGGTTCTGCATCGACGATCAAATTAAAGATAAGGTTGCTCAGCTAGTCTGCAACTCGGTTGCGAAGCGGCCGAGCAGGTTCCAGCGCTCCCGATCTAACCCTCGGCTGGGATCCCTGCAGTGCGGCCGGTCTCCCGTTCCTCGAACGTCTGTTTGATTTTCGAGAAACCGGCGTCTCCTGTCTGTCACAGAGCTCCACACGGCTTGCCGTCGCCTAGGCTGCGGCGATCCGATCGCGGCGGATGGATTTCCAAATATTGGTAGAGGCACGCGAAAGACAGAAAGGGACGTTCTTATGGACGCATGACGGCGAGATCGGTTGCGCGCGGTCCCACGGCTAACACGAGAAACGCATTAGCACGCGTCCTACGATATACTTCTTATTGTTCCGCGATGGTATCCTTCGATGCGCCGCTGCACACCGTGCCGGCGCGTTTGCATGTCCCCCGTCGATCGTTTGTCTTGTCGGCGACGAGGAGTACGACGTCGTCGAGGCCGTGCCGCGCCGCTCCACGTGCTGGTGGACACGCCGGTATGGCTGAGCGAGGGTCCCAGCTAGGTACGTCGAGAATTCGTAGAGGCACGCGGCTCCGTCTGGCCTGTCGCGCGAACACCGATACAGGTCGCCCCGGGTCCGTCGTACGAATTATTATCTCGATCCTTCTCCAGGTCCTGGAATAGTTCCGCCGGCTTTCCTCTCTCGACTAGCCGCTCGGGTTAATTACCCATTAATGCGTCGACCAGTCCACGAAGGAGGGGGACAGGTCGCTCCGCGGTGACTCCACCTTTTCCTTCTTTTCTACCACGGCAAGCTTTCGCCTTACCGTCTCCCATCTCTTCCTTATTTTCTTATTCGCCATTCCTTCTCTCTCTCTCTCTTTCTCTCTCTCTCTCTCCTTTCTTCGCTTTCCTCTTCGTCGCCCTTCTTCCTACCTTCAACCGTGGCTACGCCGCGCGATCCGTAATTACGGCGGAGCTCGTTACACGCGCGACTACGTACGCCCCTGGTACAATTATTATATGCGAGGAGAAGAGCGGAAACGAAAAACGAAACTCTCCGTCGCGGCAAGGGGCGACCAAGGAATACGAGCGATCGTGCGCGGACGGTTCTTACGTGCGTACGCGAGCGACGATTATCCAATTAACCGTTTCTCGACGAGGGAAATTGATAAGGTCGGTCTAGCCATCCGCGATTCACGAGACGTCGGCTGGTCGTACGTAGTCGATTTTATGCGAATGAATTCGCGAGAATGCGCGCGTACGCGCCTCATCGTCCACACCGCGATCTCTCGATTGGTCGCGAGTGCCCGTAAAATTCATCAGACATGCGAGTAGAAATTTTTAAATATCTTCTAATATCAGACAGACTAATGCTTTTTGTCGCGCGGTCATAAATATCCCCCCGGCGTCCGCTAATAAACGCTACCCGCGGCCTGCAGCCGCGGGGAATTGCTAATAGATCGTTAATAATTCGCTATCTGGTTGTGGCAGGCTCGAAGCGCAATGAAAATTAATTGTTTCTCTTTCCCGTCGCTCTCGACGACTCAGGTAAGATCACCACGCGTGAGCCGCTCGATCGTGAGGCGAAAGAGGTGCACGAGCTGATGCTGGAGGCGCGCGATCAGGGAACACCGTCCAGAGCCGCTAGGGTACCTATGAAGGTCACCGTGTTGGACGTCAACGACAACTCGCCCGAGATCGTCGATCCTCAGGGGGACGTGGTCAGCGTCAGGGAAGAACAGCCGTCTGGAACGGAAGTCGCCAAGGTGCGAGCATTGGACACGGACTTTGGCGAGAACGCCTCGGTGACTTACAGCATCTTAAAAGGTAGGAATGTGTCATTTAATAACATTATCGTTGCTATTATTCCAAAGGAAATATTTCCACGAGAAACTGGCTACTAGCCAGAAATTGGTCAGTTTTTACAGTTAGGACTTATTTTGGCGGTAATTGTTCGGACAGGAAAATACTCGGCCAATTACTGACCAGAAAACATGATAATTAAAAATAAAGCTTCAACCATCTCAATAAATGAATCTTTAGCGAAAGGATTTTACCTTTTGAAACAGTTTCGAGTTTTGCGTTATTTTTATATTGAATAATAAAATACAATGTTTTGCAATGTAGAACCGCGCGACGGAAACTTTTGACAGAATTTTGTATAAAAAAAATTTGGTTAGAAACTGGTCAAAAACTGACTAAGTTCACTGTTCAGTTATTAACGAAGCACTCAAACTAGAGTTTCTAGCTAGTTACTGGTTAGAAATTGGCAAATTTTCTATACACAACTTATTATTATTCCGTTCAACGTCATTGTATCACGATAATTCAATTTCTTTCACTCGCGAAGGACGCATCGTAATCTTCGGGGACATCCGTCTCGTTCCGATTAGTCCTTAGTTGGCGCACGTGACTAATCATCGTGACGCCGTTACGCGGCGTCCATCTAATGAAGCGACTCGCACTTTTGCCTCGGATACGATTGTGTGTATGTGTGTATATATATGTGTGTGTGTATGTGTGTGTATATATATGTATACACACACACACACACATACCATGGGATATATGTATATCGGCAAGAAAATATATAAATTATAATTACCTGTACGCGCAGTCAGTGATCGCGCGGCTTCGTTACGGCAGCTGCCGGCAGTTGTTGAGAGAGTCGGGAATAATAGAGAAATAGCGAGAAACTACTTAAGCGCCCCGGGGATTAGACGACGAGAGCAAGCTTTTTTACACCGCGCAGGTCTCTCTCGGACCTCGTGAAAGAGCGCGAGGGGCTTTTTGAGACTTTAATAGCCCAACGGCAATTACTGAAACAATTATGCACGGTCTTAAAAGCGGCCGTGCGCGTTTTTGCCGGGTGTTATTTGCTAGAAACGCACCGCCTACGGCGAGCGTAAATACGCGCCAGGCCGGCTCATTCCGAGCGCTTACGATCGGAATCGGATTTTCCCGATCGCGTGCAGAGACGTAGCAAGGCAGCGCGAAAAATTTCAGATCGCAAGATTAAATCTGAACATCGCTCGCGCGAGGTACTGTTATGGTGTCGGGGAGTTTGCGATGTACCTCTCTCCGCTCACGTCAGAGGCTTTTCATTCCGCGGTATTGCGGCGCCTATTTCACGTACACATTTCTGCCAGGGTGAACGGCACAGATACCGCACGATTTTTCCGTCTCGCGTTCCGCGGCACCAGCCTACTGATTCCAGAACTTTTAATGATACTGTCGTTGAAAGTTACAGAATCAATGTGCAGTTAGTTCGATCGGGGATTTGAAATTCCGTTTTTTGCTTCAGATCGAGATTCGGACGGTTACAATGTCTTCACCATCGACCCGATCACCGGTATGATCAGGACCAAGGCCGTGCTCGACCACGAAGAGCGCAACGTATATCGGGTGTCCGTAAAGGCGACCGATGCCGGACATCCGCCGCTGCACAGCATTCGCGCGTTTCGAGTTGAAGTCTTGGCGCTTGCGGATAACCGGCCGACCTTCACCAGCAGCAGCCTTACCTTTCACGTGAGTATCGTTAACCTCACCACCCGGTAGGATTCATTTACCCGTCGATTCGTTTCCAGCTTTGCTGGACGCCATCGGCGCTCCACCTTACCCCTTCTGCAATTATTCATTTCTGACGTGTTACATTTTACAACATTCATCTGATCGCGCCGATATTCCTTAGGCGACCTGCTGTTGTCGTATTTGCGCGCATTTCCTGCAGATAACTTGCAGGATCGAGTTACGTGAATTAAAAACACACTACGAATGTGATCCACAAGACAAATGCTTTGAAACGCCGTATGAACCAGTCATGGCTTTTCTTCAAAGCGTCTGCAGCGCCTAATGAGTCGTAAAGGGTCCCAGAAAATTTCAGACTAGCGTAAATCTGTTTGCAGATTTTGATATAAAAAACTTCTCTATAAAAAAAAAAGACAAATTTTCGTTCGAAAATATCGATCTTCAACAAAGTTATAGTGATTCAAAGTCGCCTAGGTCTGATAGGCCTAAATTGTATTACGTATCCCAAAAAGTATGACTGCACGCGGAAGATTAATATTGTATTTTAACACAAGGGATAAAGAGGGCTTCTATGATAACGAAGAATAAACAATACACTCTTCATGTACATTTAGGTGCGCGAAGATGCGAGTATCGGACACGCAGTAGGGTCAGTGTCAGGGGCGGGTCCCGCGGGTCGCGTGGCCTTCACCTTGAACTCACTGACGCCGATCAGCGAGTTTCCAGCTTTCGACGTTGACCGCAGCTCAGGCCAGCTGGTGGTCGCGCATTCCCTCGATCGTGAAAACGTGAGCGAATACCATCTGGAAATTCGTGCGTTGGACACGACCTCGATCGGGAATCCCCAAAGCATCGCCGTCTCTGTGAAAATCATTATCGAGGACGCCAACGACAATCCACCGAGATGGCCGCAGGATCCGATAATTGTTCACATACCCGAAACAGTAGCGATTGGATCGACCATCTACAATCTCACAGCCAGCGATTTGGACAGCGGCTTGAATGGCGAACTGAGATATAGCCTGGTGGCTGAATTTCCGCCGACGAACAGCTTCGCCGTGGATTCTTTGACGGGTGCTTTGACGTTGGCTAAGTCACTCGATAGGGAGGAAAGAGCCAAGTACACTTTGATCCTTAAAGCTTCGGATCGGGCGCCACCAGGAGAGCAATTAGCTTCTACTGTAACCGCGAAGATCGTCGTGCTTGATCAGAACGACAACGACCCCGTCTTTATCGCCCCGGAATCCACCAAGATAGCCGTCGCGTCGAATCTTCAACCTGGTAAGTGTCATCTTGCAAATAAAATATGCAGCGAATTCACACCGAACCACACAGTCGATTGTAATCCTGTTTCATGGTCGTGCTATCAGGTACCAGTCTGGTGAGAGTTGTCGCTGTGGACAAGGACTTTGGTAACAACGGTCGAGTGTCCTACGTGATCACCGCGGGCAATGAGGAAGCGCGGTTCTCCGTGGGCTACGAGTCGGGCATCGTGAGTCTCGAGAAGCCCATCGCGAGACCCATGGATCTCGAGATCACCGCCAACGATCACGGATTGCCACCCCGTAAGGCCGTGTTGAAGCTGAGTTTGACTCCGTCGATGACGCAAGCGAGTGGCCCTCCGCGGCTACTGCTGCCCAATCCTGTCGTCGAGATCTCCGAAGACCTGCAAGTCGGAACAGCCGTGTTGAACGTAGCAGGACCAGCGGTCGCGGATCAAGGTAGGAGAAAGAGAGAGAAGGACTTCGCTTCCTGGACAGTCGCTTGATCGTAACGTGATTATGATTGCTTCCTGTATCCCTGCCGTTCCACGTCAGCAGAATTAACGAGATTCGTCGAGCTTTCGTTATCCAATCGTGGCCACGGTCGAATACGGACTTGGCATCGGTTCAACGACATCCGTGGATCCGCCGGCAGGTCGGATCGCGCGGTTTCCCGATTTACGGGCTCGAATGAAGCGATGTAAACGCGTGTTCGCGGCGTATAATGCCGCGGTTCGACGCAAAACAAGCAATACGAGCCGAAACTTATCGATGCTGTGGCGTAACAAGGACGCGCGGGAGGACCAAAAACGGAGGTTCCTTTTAGGTACTCCGGACGCGTCCTTATTGTTTCGGTGGTGCGCGCGCGCACATAAAGTCCACGGCGGTGCAGAAGGGGCTGTCAATTTAGCGGCGTGTAGAGCGCGCGGCTGAAATTACAATCTGCTATCTCTCGTTCTTCTTCGGGTATCTCTCGCTCCCTTCTGACTCTTGCGATTTCGCCCTTCCCTCTTTCTCTCTCTCTAGCGCTCCCTCCTCCTGCCCGTTCTCAGTGGTGTGGATAGTACGCGTCGGAGATGCCGCACTACACACACCACCTATACACCACACGCAAACCGTGCGCGCGAGGGCGAACATAATCGCGGCCAGGCCGCAGCGGATACGCTTGCCGCGGCTAATAGGAAAGCCCTGCTACGAAAATACCTCGAATAATTGCCTTGAATCTGGCCGGTACCGAGCATTATAGTAAATTCAGCGAAATGACTTGCGCGGCTTGGGCTCTCTCTCTCTATCTCTATTTCTCTCTCTTTGCCTCTGTCGGGATCGTCGGCAACGCGTTCCATCCGTGTGTAAAGCCCCGACGCAGAATACCCCGCTGCGGCGGGGCCCCGTTCGTCTCCTTCCTTCTCTCCCCTCTGCTCTTTTCTCGCGCGCGCCTCTCGGTCGCTTTAAAAAGTCGGAGTCGAGGTCTCGGTGCGCCGGCAGAGCGAGAAAATTCCGACGTCGCGGGATTCGTCGTCATGCCGGAGTATCGACGAAACGTCCTCGGGTCATCCCCCGTCTCTCTGGCGGAAAACGCGATAACGAGCTTTCGAGCGGGCTCATTCGCCTTATTTACGGCGAAGGTCACACACCGCGTCGAGCGTCTCCGCTATCGCGCAACACGCAAACGCGAGAGCTCCTTGCGACGTCGCTAATTATCGTCGCGGGACTTTGGCGAGTGACCGAACGAGTCATGTCGCATACATTAGCGATCTCACGAGGGAAAGTCCGAAAGGAACAAGTCGACGTGTCTCTCGGCGGATACGAAGGCGTATAAATATGAATCGCGCGGACTCGAAAGTCGCTCGTTCCGGGAATATTGATCGGACATGATCATGTCTCGTGTATTTATACCGACACCTGGCGGGATTTTGCGTCGCACTGTGTAATCAGTTCCATGCGATAAGCGAGAAGTCAATTATCGTCCATGTGTGAGAGAGAGAGAGAGAGAGAGAGAGAGAGAGAGAGAGAGAGAGAGAGAGAGAGAGTCGTCCAAACGGATTCCTGGATGCGCCAACGTGCGTGCCTTCGCGCGCGCGCGCGCGTGTACGCACGTACACATTTCGCGCATCATTTCTTCGCGCCGTGCAGATCCGCATACCTGCTTGCCCAATGCCGCAGCGATCTGATCTAACTGCTTCGAGCTGGTCTGACGAACAGCTAAACCGCGCGGAAGAGACTGCGCGCGGTAGTCGCGGTAAACTAGCCGCCGATGCCGACAACACGGTGTATCTCTGGTTTTGCGCTTATCTATCGCGTCGCCCGTGTACCGGACGAGCGCATTAGCGCGCCCCTTGGGTGCGCCAAAGGACTACCACGTATCCCACGGGACGAGCCACGCTCGGTAGTGTATAGGGGAGCTTGCAAAGTGCAGAAGCGGCTGCCAAGGGGAAGGTGGAGGGGCATTAGAAAGGACGAGGCGAAACAATGGCCGCGTATATCATCGTGCCGCCGGCCTGCTGCGGCACGCAGCATAGGCAAATCACCGCTACCACCAACACCAACGTCGTCATACACGCCGTTGCCGCGTACGTACACGCCATGTCCCGCGACTGCTCGTTCGCAACACAACGAGATGCCGTGGTCGTGGCGCGACGCACACGCAGACACACGTGCGCGCATGCATGCTGAACCCGCGAGTCGCTTTGTGTTCTAAGCCCGCGAAAAATCCGCCAAGCATGGGCTAAGCGCTGGAATTCGAGAATCGAATGCATTAAGGCTCACCGTGATCGTCGTGCTTTAGCCGGGCGTTGAAGTCACTGTGCGCTCTGCGCGAGCGTGAAGTCACCGCGTGTTCTGCGGTGAATATTGAAGTCCGCATTCAAAACAATGTTCCATTGGTACAAATAGAATTCCAAATGTCACAGTTGAAATGTATTGCTGCTTTTTATATCTGAAAAATTGTCAATGTAGAACTTACAGCAACATCATTCTAGCAATATCTGCAAGCAAACTTAGGTAAATGAGAGGATTATTCGTTTGTCTCTTGAGAGAGGAGGCCTTGGGCTTTTTTGCCTACTATGGTCATTTTTATAAGAAATGTGATTGATTTTAATCATCAAATCATGGAACCGCGAGAGATAAGACGTAAATTATGCGCCGAAGCGGTTTAACGCAGGATATAACCGTGTCTTGAATGAATTATCTAAATAATACTTTACATGCAATGAAAGTAATAAAATAATTACGGAGAGCCCGCGAAAGAGATATTTAGAGAGGCACTTGCGAAATAAATGCATTTTATGACGCGCAATGCAAATCGTTGCAAGTTGTAGAAATGGTTATTGGCGTGGAACGGCTGACGATATTTACGATAAAGAAGACGATGCGTAAGGGGGAAGAGCGACTGTAAATAATACATAAAAAGTTATGCAAAACATTTAGGATGAATTTCTTATTCCGCTACGCAGGGAACGTCACCTTCAGCATACCAGCCGACATAGCTTCGAACAAGTTCGCCATAGCTCCTAACGGTCTAGTCACTCTTCGAGGTTCCTTGGATCGTGAGAAAGTCGCGCGTTACTCCGTTTCCATCTTAGCGAGGTCGAGCAAGCTCCTGGATATTACCACTCTGGAAGTAATCGTGTTGGACGAGAACGACAACAGCCCGGAATTCCGGCCAAATTCCTGCTACAACCTTGCTGTGCCGGAAAATCAGGAAATCTTCGGGATCCACACAGTGGCTGCGACCGATCTTGACGAGGGGAACAACGGCGAAATCTCTTACAGCATTACAGGTGAGACCCATCGCGTGCATTCATAAATTATGTGATTACAAGTATTTATCACGTTCGCTATTCACGTCACAAATGTAATTGCGAATATTTCTTTTCTATGTTTACATTATCAATCTACATCTGTTTTGTACAATTATATAAGCAAGAAATTAAAAAATGATATGGTCTGTAGGGGAAGGGATTTCCCAAATAAATTCTGTGCACGTGTTATATAGTTGCATATAAGAGAAGAGCTAAATAACAAGATAATTCCCCCAAGGATGAGATCATATTTTTTACGTGCAGAAATATATATATGTACATACATACAGTATATAAATATGTAACATATTTTAAACTTTTGTGATATATCGATTTCAGGTGGCAACATCGGTTCCAAATTCACGCTGGATTCATCCACCGGTGTATTATCGATGTCGAGTCTGGATCGCGAGACCACGCCCAGATATGCTCTGAAGATCTCCGCCAAGGACAAGGGAAGGCCCAGCCTAGAAGCGCACTGCAATCTCATCGTGATTGTTCTGGACGTCAACGACAACGCGCCGACCTTCCTGCAAGATCAATACGTCGAGTCTCACTCGCGCAGCAATTTGCAGAGTTCGGAGTACGGCAGTTTCGGTCTGCCCAATGGTGGCTTTCAGTACGGATCGTCGAACTATCCGGCGAACTATCATCTCGCCAAGTACGTGACGACTATTTCGGAAGACATTGCGCCGGACTCGAGCGTTATGAACGTGAAGGCGACGGATCCGGACCAAGATGAAAATGGGAGGATTACGTACGCCATCGCCGAGGAGACGAGTTGGCTCTTCAGGGTCGACAATCTGACCGGCCTCGTCACTACCGCCGGGTGAGTGCACATTCTGTCGTATATTCCTTTTTTTTTGTTTGACGTGTCCTTTTTTTTGTTTTCTTGTCTTTGTTCACCGACGCTTTCTCTATCATCCCATCGTGTTTCCTTCTCGTCTGACTTTTCCTGCTTTCCTCTTTCTCGATTTTTCTTCAGCCTCTCTTCCTTCTTACTTCTCGCTTCCTCTTTCCCTTCGGCCGCATGTGAGTCTTGCTTCGCAATCTCGGCTACCAGCCGACTAATTTCATCCTGGCGTTAATTACCGCGACCTTTATTGCACATCCGATTAGGATCACCTAGGGGAATATTACGCCGGTGGTATAACGTCGTAAAGCGGGAAGTAGAGACACACACACGGGAGGGAACGGTGATTCGCGCTCGCAGCGAAAAGTAAAAAAAGACCTCAGCCCTCGAGGGTGGCGAGGGAGGAAGGAGCAGCGTCTAGGAACGTCGTAAAATTATAAAGTCAGTCGATGCGCTTCACGAACGACGCACCACAGCCGATTAAACGATTCCGTATGCATAACCCGTCGGCACAATCCACGATACTCTTCCTTGCCTTTTCTCTCTCTCTCTCTCTCTCTCTCTCTCTCTCTCTCTCTCTCTCTCTCT